GACTTGCTAACTGGAAGAGAAATAGCTTATCGCTCGCAGGTAGAATCACTTTGGCCAAGAATGTGATTGAAGCCATGCCCCTCTATCTGATGATGACTAATAAAATTCACAAGTCCATTGTGGAAGAAATTCACAGCAGGCAACGTAAGTTCATTTGGAGTGATACGGAGGAGAATAGGAAGATTCCTGCAGTGGGTTGGAATACCATTATTATGCCTAAAATCGATGGGGGACTGGGCTTAAGGAACTTGGAGGTTCTTAACACAACCTATATGGTGAAGCTCGTGTGGAAGATGGTGAGTAATGAGAAGGACCTTTGGTGCGAGGTGATGCGTGGTAAATATAATTGTCTTGATGGTCAGCATATTGTTGGTGCAAAGGCGAGGGATTCAAGTTTATGGAAGCAGATTATTAAAGCTACTTCAAAAGTTTGCAAATTTGGTGTTTGGAATGTTGGTAACGATACGATGATTCGTGCTTGGAAAGACAATTGGCTAGGGGAAGATATGCATACTAGTAGTACTCAACACCTTATTCCAACTGAGTTAGAGGAAGCTAAGGTTACTGACTTGGTGGATAATCATGGAGATTGGAATTGGCATTTGATGGACAGTTAGCTGCCTATAGATTGGATGGACAAGATTCAAGCCTTAGTTCCTCCTTCCAGGGGGCACATTACTGACATTTTTTCTTTTGGAGGAACTGATATTGGTATTTTCTCCTTAAAGACGATTTACCATGCCATTCAGAATAGGGAAGGGCAACATGAATATGATGATTGGAAGCTCATTTGGAAATTAGGCGTTTCGGATAGGTGAGGAACCTTTATATGGCGGCTCCTTAAACATGATAGGCTGCTTACTAATCATAATAAAAGTAGGAAAGGCCTCGGAAATGCTAGCTGCAAAGTGTGTGGTTATGTGTGTGAAGATACACTTCATGCTATGAGAGATTGCCCTAAAGTTAGGGAGACTTGGAAGACTATCGATCCATGGGAACTTATGGTGGAGTTCTTTGACTTGGAGTTACAAGATTGGATTCAAGTGAACTTAAAAGCTAAAGGTGGTGGAGTTTGTATCTGGAGGAATGTGGGTGGTTGCTTGCCATACCTTTTGGATGTGGAGAAATTTTGAGGAGCATGACAATGATTATGTGCAACTAATTGATCCAGTGCATATTATTTTACAGAAGCAGAAGGAGTATGAGGATGCCTTTATCACAAGTTCTCTTGTGAATAAACGGGAGGTGAGTCGAATGGATCATGTGTGGAAACCACTTATGCTAAACTAGGTCAAGCTTAATACTGATGGGTCATGTAAGGATCATAGTAGAGTTGGTTGTGGTGGTGTTGTTCATGATAGTGAGAGGTAATTGGTTAGGTGTTTTCTCCAAATTTTTGGGGAAATGTAGTGCCATCATGACAGAATGCTAAGGTGTTTCGGAAGGTCTCAAGCTTACTAAGAGGCTTGGGTTGAGAAGAGTGGAAGTGAATGTAGACTCTGAGATGGTGGTGAAAGATATTCAAGAGGATGGTCATACCATCCCTACTATTAAAAAGTTGATCAGAGGGCATAATTTAGTTACCATTTTTCACAGAGGCAAATGTCTGCGCGGATGTGCCAGCTAAAGTGGGTTTCATATCTAGAGATTTCATGCAATACGATGAAGTCCCTAAGGTGTTGGTGATTTCTTTGGAAGTGGATAGAGCTAACTCTTTAGAACTATTTGTTGGGTTGTCCTAATTTCTTTTATTTCGGACTTCGGCCCTCTTTGGCAAAAAAAAAATGTGTCACCCTTGTTTTCATTACATAACCGTCGAAACGAAGAGCACGTAGATGTTATAGGTTAATCAGAATAGGAAGTGGACATCTGAAAAGAGTCTTAAGTACTCATTTTAGGATTTAGGGATGATAAAATGATAAGAGGGATACCTAACGAGATGGTGGAAGTTCATGTTACAAAATGGTAAAAACTTGTTCATGTTCATTGATCATGACCAAATAAATGGAGTTTCATGACTAGAGGGATTCCCTTGATTATAAGACAAATTCACAAAGGGTAGGTCAACATTAGTTCCTTGATAAGATGGAAAGTTGTTGTTAGAGGGTAATAGAGTATTGGTTTCTTGCTTAATATTTGTAGGAGGTGATGATGGAGGAATATTTTATGTTTCCTCAGTAGAGTGTACAGTGGTTGAAAGAGGTGGTTCGAATGATTTCTTAAGTTGTTTATAAGGATTTGATAATTTTGGTTACCCAACGATTGATTTGAGTCTGTTTGTGTTTCGTTTCAATGATATATTTTTAGTCCTAGTCTAGTTGTGTTGGATGTTTCTCACATTTTAACTACATCCAATGGGTTGGGTTTTCTTTTGTAAGAGAGGATTCGTTTGTGGTGAGCATATGTGTTTATATATATATATATATATATATATATATATATATATATATATATATATATATATATATATATATATATATATATATATATATATATATAT